TCAGACGAAAACTCAAAAAAAAAAAAAAAGGCAAAAATATGGCATTGAGAGGAGTGGCCGCAGTTTCTGCTTATTGTTGCAAGAGAACACAATCATACCCATATCTCCTTTCATTTCCTCATTCTTTCACACCCAATTCCCATCAAAGAATCTCACCATTTATTCCCGTAATACATAATTTACCTGGTAACTACTCTTTTATTATTTTTTCTCTAAATATTTTTCTGCAATTTTCCGAAGTACCCAAGTCATATTTTGGTGAATATGATCAAGTTTGTGTTTCAATTTATTCATTTCTCTATTTAGTTTTTTGCAGAACCCAAGTTTGGAATTCGTGCAGTGAGTGATCAGGCCGTTGTAATTCCGAAGAAAGAAGATGAATCATCATCATCACCATCACCACCACCGGAGAATTGGAAGATCAAAATGCTCTATGATGGAGATTGCCCACTTTGCATGCACGAGGTTAAATATTATTATACCTTCAAAGTTTCAAAGACACCATTTATTATTATTATTATTATTTTTTATTATTATTATTTTTGCAATTTTAAGGCTTTATATTACATGTTATGTGTCGTCAGGTAAACATGCTTAGAGAGAGGAATAAACAATATGGAACCATCAAGTTTGTGGACATTAGCTCAGAGGATTACTCCCCCAAGGAGAATCAAGGGCTAGACTTTGAAACTGTGAGTTACCAATTATGCACTATTGTTGAGATTTATCAATGAATTTGTCAATAGAAGACACAATTTTTAAGAAAAAAAAAATGTTGAAAAAAATGTTTGCTCTACATATTTTGTGAATTTGTACATATCGATGTTCATGAAAACAAAGACTTCTTTTTTACTCTTTCCATTTACCAATTGTTGATTAATTATAGATAACATGGCCAAATGGAAAGTAGAAATGTACACAAAATGGAGAGAAATTCCAGCATTTTCTTTCACTTTACCATTTTTTACTTCATTATAGTAACTTTTTTTTTTCTTTTTTCAATTTAAGGTTATGGGAAGAATTCATGCAATTCTTGATGATGGAACTGTAGTCACTGACGTTGAAGTAAGGCTCATTAAACTTTAAACTTAATAATTTTGTGTCTATATATTATGTTGTAACTCTTTCTCTTGTGCATTAGTAAGAAGGACCAACTTTAAGTTAATAAAAACTTCTGCAGGCATTTAGAAAGCTATATGAACAAGTTGGGCTTGGATGGGTTTATGCCATAACCAAATATGAACCTGTAAGTTCCTTTTGTTCGTTATAATACATTATTGGTTTTACAAACAAAATTTTGTTTTATCTCTGGTTCATCTTTGTTTTGTAGTTGACATAAAATTATTTTTTCTCAGATTGCGAAAATAGCTGATGCTGTATACAGTGTTTGGGCTAAATACCGTCTTCCAATCACAGGTAAAGTCACATTTGTGGGAAATGCATTGCACTATAATAGTTGAGTATAGTTATGCCTTCTTTGCTTCTTGTTAAGAAATAGATGTCCTAATCATTTACAACAAGAGGAATAAAATATAAAAAGAGAAGAAAAAAAAACACAGGATTTACATTGGTAACTACATCCATTTTCAGCCGTTGCATAATTTCATTATAATAAAGGAGAAGATTACAAGAGAATCACATACCTCATGCCACTCAGACTTTGTGTTTTTCTCTGAAGCGCCCCCAATATAAATAGAAGTAGGAAAACGGATAATACATGTGTGATATATATGGACCAGATTTAGTAAGTTCAAACTATCATTTTGTTTTTCTCTTTTAAATTAGCTCAGCCGTATGTTTATCCTTTAGCAAGTGAAGATCTTAAAAAGTACTTTTGCACATCAAGTCCTTTGGATTATAATTGTATGACCCAAATTCTCTGATTTGAGTTTAGGCCGACCGCCTCTAGAAGAGATAATGGAAACACGACGAAAGAACAAGGTAGGCATATCAAATTCAAGATCGCCTTAATTTTTCTCTCTTTGATCATGATTGCATGACAAGAGCACAAGATGGTTCTCATTCTTATTGATTTAGAAAACATGAACAATTCAGAGCTAATACAAGCTCGGCTTTCTTTTTCATTTTACAGAGTGAAGTATGTAAGGACAGCAACTCTTGCAACATGTGAGCTCATATGATATGATACCATACAAAGGCATGGAACTTTTCTTTTGGCTTTAGTAGTACTTTTTGGGCCAATACACACTTGCGAATTCTTTCCATACCATTCATTATTACAGGAATGTAAATGTGACTCCAAGCTTATAACATTCATTTTAATTTCAGATAGTATAAGTTTGTTCAGTTGATTAGTTCGATGGGAGATATGAAATTTAGTGAAAAATAAAGTAATAGCAAAAAGGCGCAGTATTGGGACATTTGTCCTATATATGGAAATAGAAATCGGCTCGATCCCTACTTGGAGTAGCGCTTTTTTTTGTTGCCATTTGAGATTGGAATATATAAAATAGTTTGTGCCCATCCAAAAGGCTAGCAAAACCTCAGCCCTCAACCTTCATTTTTCTTCCCTTTCAGCAACTCCACAAAGCTATCAACAATCCTATCTGAGCTTCCACCAATACTAACAGCCTTCTTTGCAGCCACTCTCCATTTCAATGCATTCCTTCTTATCTCTCCACTTCTCTCTCCTTCCATCACTGCCCTCACACTCATCGCAATCGCTTCCCGCCCCACAATCCCTTCTTCATTCCTCCCGGCTCTCACTCCCACCCCCCACACCTCCTCCACAAACTTGGAATTCATCGGCTGGTCACTCCACTGCGGCACTGCGACCATCGGGACACCGAGGCTCAGCCCCTCCAGCGTCGAGTTCCATCCACAGTGCGTCACAAAGCAACCGACAGCTTGGTGGGACAGAACCTCTAGCTGGTCACACCATGTCACCACCATTCCTGCCTCTCCTAGTGAATTCAAGAACCCATTTGGGAGTTTGTTCTTAGGCTCTTTTATGACCCAAAGGAAATGCTTCTCACTTGCTTTTAGACCCCATGCTATTTCTTCAACTTGTTTGTGTGAAATGTCAGCCATGCTTCCAAACGACACATAAATGACAGAGTTTGGTGGTTTTGTGCTCAACCATGTCATGTGCTGGTCGCTTGTTAGCTTCCATAGACTGGCTCCATAAGATGTGTCTCCTTCTATTTGTTGGTCTAGGTAGGCTGATGGCACCATTGGACCCACCATTTGTAGGGGCCAGAGTCCTTGCATGGCTTTCACTAGCTGTCCAACATAATAAGTAATGAGAAACGAAATATAACTACACGTGTGTGTGTATGCCTTGGAATTGTCTTTAAGTCTAGTATCCGAATCAGTCAGACATATTTTTTTTCTTATACATGTATAACATTGTTTATAGGCGTGTCTAACACTCAATTTGTTTAATGTAATATTAATATAGCCTAATGTAACTTTGAGCGTTACACGCCCAATGTAATTTTGAGTGTCACACGAACATACGAAAAAAGTTACATGTATGAATGAATGATGTTGCACGTACATATAAAAAAAAAATTACATTTGCACGTACATATAAAAAAAATTACATTTGTCTGACTGTACGGCAGCTGGACTTAAAACTTTGCCTCTATATATATTCTAATTTTTGGCATTTTTTCAAAAGTAAATTGACACAAATAAAACTATACTTTTTGGTAGCTTAATCCTCAATCTAGAATCTTTTTTGTTCCCCAGTTTCATTGTCACATTGGTTATTACTTTCTATCTAATTATTTCTCCTAGATTTCACTTATAACAAATAGCTTTAGTGCTCTAGATTGGATAGTTTTGTCCTGTTATAAATACCTACTTTCCATCAGCAGTTTTAGGCTGTATTAGACGGTAAATATAGTTGATAAAATCACAGTAGTATATCGGCCTTAGAGAGAAAATGAGAGATCCAAATGTGTTAGTGTTTTACGAGATAATTTTATATTTCTATTTTCATATTAAGTGCATGGGTTTTTTTTTTTTTTCCCCTCCCAAATTATATCAGTATTCATCGATTAGGGTGCTTTATAATATTTTATTTAATTCAGGGTTTTGTGATAGTTAAAAATTCAGGAGGTAGCAATTCAATCAAAATTCATAGGACAAAAACGTCCTTATGTTAAATAGAACTGTGAAGGATAAAACTCACCATCAAACTAAAAATATTAACTTCCACACAAAAAAAAAAGAAATTAAATCAAACGATCTTATATATAATCGATTCAATCAAAGCGTATTATGTGATGGATTTTGTCGGTTTAGTTTAGTCAATTTGAATTTTAAAAGTCAAACAATTTACGATTCGAGTAATTTTATAAAAAAAGCTGTTAGCTAGACATAAAAGTTACCTATGCTCAACACAAACAATTTTAAAGTGAATTTTATGTAATAAAAAAAGTTAAATTTAAATTTTTATAAGATAAAATATTATAAAAAAAATTTGAGTTATGATTCGAGTTGTAAAAAAATGTTAATAAAAAAAGTTAAATTTAAAATTTTATGAGATAAAACACTATAAAAAAAAATTTGAATTATGATTCGAGTTGTAAAAAGAACATGTGATCAATTACCTCACCCTCCAATTCTTCAAAACTGTTGCAGAAAACCCAATCATTTTCTTCTAATCTCTTGAACTTTTCCATGATCAAAGCTAAATAAGGAGATTGAGCAATTTCCCCATTAAGAAAACTAGGCATCTCATTAACCCCAAGTGGAGGAACACCAGGCACCACCAAAACTGACCCTTTTTCTCTCTCCAAATCCAAGCCACCTCTATCTACACGCCAATACAAGGAACAACAAGAAGCCGAGTTGGTCATAAAAGCGGCACAGAGAACACCATGTGCTCTGGCCACATCAAGAGCCCAAGGAAGCAGCGAGTCATAAACGACACTGTTTACTGGCGATGTTGTGTTGTTCGACTTTACTATCAGATCTTCCAAGGACTTTGATCCGACGGCTCTGAATGACTCCAAGTAGGCCTCCAGGCTCGGGGCTTGTGAGAATCCGCTTTCGTCGTATCCGTCCGATATGGGCTCGATTTGTAAAGAGGTTGTGGTGGTGGTGGTGATAGATTTCAGAGTGTAGGGAGTGGTGGCTAGAGTTGTCTTGAGGCCTTTGGAGGCCAACCGTTTGGCGAATTGGAGGAGTGGGTTTATGTGGCCTTGTGCTGGGTATGTGACAACAAGTACATGGCCTTGTTTTTGGCTCTTCATTTTTTTTTTTCTTTTTTGGTAGTTGTTGTTTAGTTCAAGTGAATGGATGAAAGGAGATTTATCGATATATATAGGCCCAAGTCAAGTGCATGCAATGAAGTTTCATCGAAATATGGGGATAAACATAGAAAAGTCGTTTGACAATTCACACCAGTGTCCAATGAAAATATGCAAGCATATGTTGGAATTTTAAGATGTTATTATTGTCATTGTCAAATTTCAACCACTTTATATAATTTTTCTTTTCAAAGCTAACCGACCCTAAAGAGAAGCGAGCGAGAGAGAGAAAATGAGCGTTCTGGTCAGAGCCTCATCAACGCCTCCAGGTACGTTACCAGGCTCCCAACCTTGTATTTTTGTCCAGGGGCTCGCAACAATGAGGCCGACATGGTAGTGGGGGCAGTGTTGTGCACCAACGCGAGCCGAGTGTCCAATGAGAAAATTTGAGTGTATGAGTAAGAATTTTAAGGGGTTATTTACAAAAGTGGCAACTGAGGATATGCATTTGTCTCTATTTGGCTCCTCACATTCACTTTTAAAGGTCTAGCTACCGAGTTTCTAAAACATACAGTTATGATAAACTGTCTACTTTTCAAACAAAATGTAGCACAAAAATGATAAGACGAGTTTTAATAGGGATAAGATGGCCACAATAAAATGTAGATATAAGAATTACTCGAGAAAGAAAACGAACATCATCAACACCTTCACTTCTAAATTCAAAGGAGTTTTTCCAGCTCTGGCGACAATCATATAGCTAAGACACACTAATGAACTAACCAGACATATTTACGTCTTATAAATCTTCAACTTGTTTTCACATCCACCCCCGCACCGAAAATCTAAAATCCAGGCAACGTTAAAGCTTTAAACTTTCGCAACATAGCTTCTTTTCAGATTCACCATTACTAAGCACCGCTTGAGCACACTGACTAGTCTCTTTTGTTGTTCTTGCTGTATTTTTCATCTTCTATGAACCTTTACATTGGCAATGGCAACAACTGCAGCATACCAGAAAGTTTCGAGAGGGAAGCTTGACCGATGTGTTCGGACTTCGGAGTTGCGGATTAGGGAATTAGTGAGACTTGGCCTGGAAAATTCAAACTCTGATCATACCTGAGATCCATATTGAGAATAACCCACTTAATAACAATTAAAAAACAACTCCAACCCATATGCATATAGCTAAATTCTCTATTGTTAACAAATTCCCATTGTACAAAAGTCCATTTAAATAGCATATACTTTTTATACTTGAGATAAGAAAACCATCACCTAGAACTTCTGTTTTTCACTTGCAGGGGATTTTAAACTCTGATACCTTGTGGTCGAGTCAGGTATAGAATAAACGCGAGTTTATGCATGCAACCACAGAACCATCACCTAAACTTATATCTAAGAGATGTAAGCATGGTTTAACATGATGAACTGCACATATTGTAAATCAAAGTAACCATTGTCTATTTCACATTTCGCAATGTTGTTCTATCTATTCAACCCAAAATGTGATTCTTCTCTCTCTGCACACACACATACGCATACATAGATATACATATATATATATATATATGTATGTATGTATCTATATGTTACAAGACAATCCCGATACACAAGCAAATTAACCAGAAGCTACTGCAAATGAAGACCACAAGACCAACAATATTCTAGACTTAATCAAATGCAAGAAAATCAAAAACCAAAAATCAACCATCCACAAGCATTCTAAATTGCCCAATATATTCATCACAAAATCCGATTTTTTTTTCTTTTTTTTTAACAATAAACAGAAAAATTCTACAATTAACATTCAATTTCGATCAAATTTTGCAACCTATCTCATCTTCGTCAGCTACACTTCGAGATTCTATCCAAAGAGCCGAAAACGCTTTCTAGGGTTACGTCCTCGACGATGACGACCTTGTCTCTGGATTTGGATCCGGAGCCAATGGAAACCTGCCTTCTCTTCACCCCTAAGACGGAGCTGAGATAGTCGATAAGAGCGGCGTTGGCCTCGCCGTCCTTGGGCGGCGCGTCGATCTGCACGCCCAAGGCGTTGTCGGAGAAGTCAGTGACGGAGGCGATTTTGGAGCCAGGCTTGGCGTGGACGGTGATCGCCACCGAGGAGGGAGAGACGGCGCGGATGCACGACGGGAACTTGGGATTCCGATCGGACTGAGTCGACTCGGTTGGGTTGGCCTTGGCCTTCGTCTTCCCCTTCTTCACCGGTGGCATTTCAATGGACGTCGGATGATCAGTTTTTTGTTCTACCTCCAACTTTCAACTTTACTGCGAGAAAAGCTTGCTTTTTTTTTTTTTGTCTTTTTCTTCCCTGGCCCCTAGATTCTTTTTTGTCACTTTACCAGTACGTTTCCAAGCCTTCAACGACATGTCGTTTGGTGACATAGTTAGTTAAATATAAGATGTCAATGGGACGGGTCGCGTTTTCAAGCCTCAAACAAAACGCGAATAAAAATGAATTTTTTTAATTAAAATCTTATGGACTAATATAGTTTTTTAATTAAAAAGTATTAATTAAATGTAAAGAATAAAAAATAAAAAATTAATATACTTTAAAAAGTATTTATCTTTTTTTTAAATAAATAATAAAAAATCATCGACAACAGAAAAGAGAATTTTCATTGGTTGTCCATAACTGCTAAATAGATAGACTGACGAAGTTTTAAGTTGACTACCGAGTGTTAGAATTCTCTTTTCATTAAAAATAAAAACCATAAAAAATCTTAATTTAGTAACGAATTTGGTGAATTTAAGAACGATTATTTTAATGTTGAATGGAAAACTGTATATTCTACGCTTATTACGTGTATCACCATTTAAATATATATAGTTAGAAAAATCAAAATAAGATACATTTTACACTTTTACCTCCTACCAACCAAAATGATAAGTAGACGACAAACTTTTAAATGGAAAACATGTCGTTTTGAAAAAAAACGACAAACAGTTTGTCAATTTCCAACTGAAACCAAAACTAACCAGAAAATTTCAAAGGCAAAAGGACACATCATTTTGAGACGACAAAAGAAAAATATTGTTTATAATGCCTCTACAAAATTCTATCAAACCCACTTTTACAAAAAGAGGAAAAAAAAACAAAAAACAAAAGGAACCCCTGTAAAAGGACAAATTTATTGAACAAATGATTTATTGCTTCATACAAAATTATGATCCGCCATGTAAGCTACTGAACATATTCAGCACCTCACTCTGCTTCATGTTTAAGCATCAACCATATCCAGAAACCAGCTTATGTAAAAAAAACATTTATCTAGATATTTACAACTTAAACATGGAAGTGAAAAGGAGTTTTTTTTTCTAGATGTGGCCAGTGGCCACCATTAAAGCCAAGACACGCTAATGAACTAACCAGATGTATTTACACCTTATGAATATCCAACTTGTTTTCACTTCTATAACCTGTGCGCGAAAATCTAAATCCGGGCAGCACTCGAACACTATTTGCAACCATAAGAAGGCTTTTCTCACGCCCCATGACTCAAAATCTTTGGATTTTCCCAACTTGTCTTTTTCGATTCATCATTATGAAGAACCACTTGAGCACACTGGCTAGCTTTTTCCATCTTCTCTGAGCAATGGCACCAGCCGTGGTGCGCATGAAGCCGTCCACAGCACTCTGTAAATCAGCTGGTGATTCTAAACTGATGTTCTGCGACTGAAGATCGGTGTCGAAAAACTGCAGATGATCCTCGTCACAGAAAGCTTGCACGATGGGCTCCGAGTCACAGATGAGAGAATTGGTGACTTGACCTGGGAAATTCAGAGTCTGATCATACCTAAGATCCATAGTGTCAATGGTGTGTAAGGCGTAATCATCTAAGCCGCTGGTCCCACCGACAGAAAATATAGACGAAATGATATCTGGGGAAGATGCGGTTGATTGAGCATATTCAAATGCACCAATCTTGTGTGAAGCCAAATACTTGCTCCCAGTAGAGCTTTCTGTCTTTGGTGAGCCCGAGGAGTAAAGCACGTTTGTGAGGTGGGGTGAGCCACCCGTAAGAGAGGCATCATCGTCGAAAATTATGACTTCCCCCCAGTGTTCAAATGCAGATATTAACATGCTGTGGGCGTCAGCCTAAACGAGAGATTTGATTGTAAGGAACCAGAATATTTGACAAACAAAAGAAAGAAAGATCTAAGTCGAGGAATGCTATACCCTATCAGTTTCAGATAGCTTATCAATGGGAGTGAATTGGCCTTCTGAAAGCAGTCCCATTACTTGTCCTACAACATTGAAGACAACCCCAGTTTTCTGCTGTGAATTGGAAGGGCAGTACAAGTACGTCCTCTTGTCAAGTACACATGTCCGAGCATGCTCCACCGCGACTTCCCACATCTTAGCTGACATACCCGTCCCAAGGATCTGCATATGCCAATGAACAAGTTTTTAATTGATAAGTTCTCATACGAAGTGCACCACCATCCAGGCATGAAAAACTCATCTTAAGCAGTTTGAAAAGTGGTCTAACATGTTTGTGAAAATCTTATAGTTGGGGTTTACATGCATGGATGAAACATTAATGTTACTTTAAGGATAATTAAAGCAAACGATTTGTTCCTCTATACTAGAATACAGATTTGACACCTCTCTGAAGATGGAGCATTTTTTTAAGGTAAAAGATTGAGGTGACAAAAGTTAGTAATTACATTTCGGAGTCTTGGAGGATCCACAAAGAGTAAGGTAAGGAAATCCTTCACAGTACAGATGCTTTCCCGGCTTAGACGCTTATGGAAGGCTCCATCTTTGCCTATCTTTTCTAGTCTCCATACTTCATCAGATAGGGAAGGAGGATGGTGCTTCTTGTACACTGTGCAATGAGAACCAAATAGTATAATGAGTAATCATTTAATCCACTCATGAGTACTTTTTGAGTTAACGGATCTACGTTAAAACATCATGTAATGAAAAGATATACGAAGAACGATTATTTAGGACCAAGAAACAAGAGGGAAA